GCTATTGGCTTTTCAAGAAGCACTGCACCACGGAATAAATTATCTGTGGTAGGAATTATGAATAGGAGAATGATGGACACCAGCAGATTGAGTAAATTTCATTCTGAATTATTTTTTGTAGTGTTAAATATTGTATATAATGCGGACGTGTTCGCGAACCCTGACTCCATGATTTTCTGTTGTTTTTATGAAATACTTGTAATGGCACCGATGGAGGGCAGCACTGTTATAGATCGGTAGTGTCGCTGTAGGCTGTTGGTACTGGTTAATACAAAATGTCCAGTACTTCACTTGAAAGTAAAATATTAGATCTTGAAGCCCGACTGAGAGCAGAAAATGAAATGAGGGATAGGGACAAAATGCCAAAGGACTTGAGCCATGTCATGGGAAGTCCTGCGCATGGAACTGGTCGTAGACCCAGGCAGTGTAAGTTATATTCTGATCATAGCGATAACATTGAGTTTATTGCATTGTTTCATTTGTGGAAACTTAACTTCACAATAATGAAAATTCTGATTAAGTGGTGTATGTATGTTATATATCGTACCGTTTGAAAATTAAAAATACAGTGAAATTTAATCATTTGTAGGTAACGTTTAACTTGCACATTAAATAAGAGGGATCTTGTAGGTTAGATGTTTCTGTTTGTTATTGACGGGTCGTGTAGCTGGTAACAGTTCTCTGATTTGGGATCTGCTCATGGTGCTAAAATGTTTATATGATGGTACGTATATTTTAAAGGGAATGTGTTTGAAAATTCTATGATTTGTTTTGTTAATGCCAGCTTTTAAGTGAAAATTTATGTTGTGGTTCCAATGTAATAAGAGGCGAATTGATGAGGGTGGTTTTGCCTAGTACAGTTATAAAAAAATGTTTGGTGTCGATATTGCCAATTTTAATTAACTTTATATAGTAGAAGTTATAGATTTAAATAATTTAAATGCATATTTTTATTTAACAAAAATATAAGTAATTCATGGTATTGGTTAATTTCACATGCGACATGACTTAAAACAATTCTTTTATATCCTCATATTATGAAGTTCGGGTAACAAAAGTTGATGTATGAAACTGTAGGCTTGTTTAGCAGCTGTCATGTGAATAAATCAGATACAAAGTTGAATTTCTCCTGGTAGTCATCTTATATGAAATTTATTTTCACATGGATAGCCTCATTGGTAATGCAGCATGAATAGCTGTTGCTCTACTCTGAGGAGTTTTTTTATATATTTTTTACAATTTTTATAATATAACCTTAGAGTTTGCTCCTATCAACAGTTCCTCAAGGTTAGTCTTTTGGTTTTGATTTTACAAATGAACTTGGCAGTGAATTCTAAAGTTACAAGGCTTTACCTGCTGTGTGTAAGTACTGAAGGTTCTTTAAAATTCACACAACTGTTTAATTAAGTACCAGTGATTCTTAAAAATCATTGGCAAAAAGTGAACACCAATGATTCAAGTTCTGGGTAATGTATTCCAGTACAAATTCAACATTCTAACCAAGAAATATATATATAAGGAAACCTGTTTTAACAGGAAGTACAGAACAAAGCAACATATAACTAACTGCATGACACTGAATGCTTCTGGATGACAGCTCCCAGTCTTGCATCTGCTCAAGAACTTCCCCCACCCTTCACAGAAGAACCTCAGTGTTCATTGAATTGAATTGAATTGAATTTATTTACATTCTATAAATCCTAAGCAGGTTAGTACCTTTGGATACAGAACAAGTCAAAAGGTTACATACATAAGTACAGGCAATTTTAGCTTAAAAATTAATATAACTTAATTTTACATCATTCCCTATTTACATTGAA